GGGGGGGGGGGACCACCCTGATTAGGGCCGGGGATTGAGCCTGCACCAGAGATATGTGCCCTTGGCTGTAATTGAACCCAGGATCCTTCAGTCTGGGGGCCAACACTCTTAACCACTGAGCCAAACTGACTAGGGATCCATTCCCAACACTTTAAAATCTCTATTCTTGCTCTACTATTTACTTCTCTTTTTTCTAATACCCAGTTTCCTCTTTTTCCTAATCGTCTTCCAAAGGAAGATAGAAAAAGTATTCAGAAATAAATTCTTATGTATTCAAATTTCACATAAAAGAAAGTATAAGTTAAGCATATCATGGTTTCTCTAACTCAGTTTTCTGTAGCAGCACTGTCCAATAGAACTCTCTGTGACAATACAAACATTCTAAATCTACACTAATAGAGTAGCCTGATCACTGGCTAATGTAATTGGGGAATAGCATTTTAATTTTATGCTTAGTGCTACTATGCTAGATAATGCAGCTCAGTAGGAGAATCAGATCTGTCAAATCCTTCTTCAGAGTATTCCTTGTCATAAGTTTTTCCCCAGTTCCACCAATGCCATCCATAATCAGTACTATACACACACCTCATACTACTCTCTCCTTAAATACCACTGAAATATTTCCCTTCCTACACTCCACCAAAATATTATTTCAACATTATTTAAGCTTAACTGTCTGATTCATAATGCTCAAAATTCTTTAACATCTAAAAGAACAGAAAAAATAAAGTCCACATGGCATTCAAAATCAAAATCACAACCTGATTTGATGCATTTTTCTAGTGTTATTACCTACAAAAATCTGATTCAGTAAAAGATCTACTCATTATTTCCCAAAATGTTAAGCTTTCTCATTAGTTATACTATGCTATCAATCACAGATGACCTCCTTATGACCAAAAAGAAAAAAAAAATCTTAATTCTTCTTCACCCACCTGGAAACAAGCCCCTTTTCTGATCACTGCTCTGGCAAAGTAATTAACACTTCTAAATTGCAAAGCTAATTTATATTTAATCTAAATAGTTAAGGCTAATTTATTGCTTTAACAGTTACTTAAATCTTTTATTGTTAACTTTTCATTTCTTTAGGATTTGTTCCTAAACTTGACAGCTTGAATATATCATATACCCTAAGAGTAGGGCCCTCCACAGAGCATTAATCAGATGTTAATTCAAAGAAGGTAAGAACAGAAGAAAAAAGGATTAAGTTAGAAGTTTCTCTGCAAAAAACCTAAACATTATTCCTCCTGTGCATTACTAAAAGCTCAAAATACAGCTGAGTTCTGGATAGGTTTCTGGCCTGGTAACATGTCTCAATGGTCTAGAGGGAATTTTTCCTGCTTTCTCTTCATACCTTTAGGAAACAGTACCTTAGTTCATGAAGTGTTCCCAGGCCTAAACCAGATCTAGGCTCCCTCGGAAGCATTAATAGTTTCTAATAAGTCAGATAAAATGCATTTCCTCAAATGGTGTCAATGAGACAGATGGAGTACAATGAAGGAATAGAGCACGACTCCAAACCCCCGACTCCAAACCAAAGAGGATAAAGAAAATATTTTAGTCAACCAAAAATGAGTTCTGTGTGAATCAAATTCTACCATGACTATATAATTTAAATATTATTTGAATCTTTTGAAAACAAGTCATTGGTCATTTTTAACTGTCATAGACATTTACCATGTATACAGGAAAATTTTTACCCTAAGGAAAAGCTACTTATTTTCTAAAGAATGTCTAATTAGAATTTTAAAAGTAAAACTCATTGTTCTCATTTATTCTATTTTTAAATAGTCTTAAGTAGAATAAACCTTTATTTCAGGTCCCTGAACACTATTTAAAATGAATTAAAGCCAAAGCACCAAATGACTTCTTTTCTATGTGCTTCTCTCCAAGAAACAAACACAACAGATAAAACTGGCATTAAAAATATTTAGATGGCCTGGCCAGTGTGGCTCAGCAGTTGAGTGTTCAATTCCTGGTCAGGTCACATGCCTGGGTTTAGGCTCGATCCCCAGTAGGGGGCGTGCAAGAGGCAGCTCAATGACTCATTATTGATGTTTCTCTCTCCCTCTCCCTGAAATCAAGAGATATATTTTAAATAAATAAAAAGTATTTAGATATTTTGTCAAACACTTAAGAGTGCTTAATATTCAATTATATCTTAACAAAAAAGAAAAGACTGCTTAATGCTAAAGCACAATACTAGGTACCCAATAAGTGGTTAATGTCACAACCTAAAATCCAGAGCTGTGATCACAGCAGAACATCTTTAATATGGGTATGTTTTTGTTCTCTCTATATACACTAAAAAAGAATGTTACAATGTTTTGGAGGAGTTTCTACCTCAGACTCTTTGTATACCTACATTTGAAAAAAGTAAAAGATTAAAAATAATGACCTTGATGTTAGCAAAGTGTGGCCAACTGCTAAACTCAATTCCTTCTCTGGAGCTTATTTCAAAAATAAATAACCCATAGCTCTGTCCCATCACGGGAAAAAGGGGAGAAGGAAGGAGGCTGGGGCAGAAATCAATTTTCCCAAAATTGCTTTACAGTTTACAAGGCCTAGAATTTATTTAGAAGGTGGTAACTCCACCTTGTTCCATAAACCAATTTCCCTTGGTACTGTGGAGAGCAGAGTACATATTTACTAAATGATTTCTTCACCGTGTCTCTCAGAAATTAAGAAATTCCCTTAAGATGAAGAATTAAGCCTTTTAAACCTAAACTTTTATAATTTTAGGAAGTTGATGACAAGAATCAAAGAATGTAAATTAAGAACTCATTTAAACTAACTTCTATCAGATTCATGTATGTAAAATAAATGAAAATATTTTTACCCCAGAAGTATTCTATAATTTAGCTACCCGACAGAACTATTTTCCTTTTCAAATTTTAAGGATATTAACATAGTCAAATTGGAAAAATACCAATTTCAAGTGATAAATCAATATCTAAGCTATAAATATTCTATGTCCACACACCTTATATTTTATTTAGTTAAGTGGTAGCAGGGGGGGTGGTGTGGAAAAGGTAAATGAAACAAGGAATATAAAGGATCACCACAGTAAGGAACCATAAAAAGAAAACCCCACATATCTTGGATAGAAGTAACTGGATAAATGGAACAATGAATATGAACCCTTCAACCAAAGCTAAGGATACAAATTTAAATGGAATCAATAATCTTTAAATAATTCAGCACCTGGTACCTATATATATGTGTGTATATATATAAAAAGCCTACATGGAATGAATTGGTGATCTCAGTTCAGATATCCTGGAGGTCTTATTAATAATGTGAGTGTACAGTACTGAAGGTAACATGTATAGAATAAAAATAGATTCCATTTCAGACAGATTCCATTTCAGATACAGGTAAAAAGCAATTATATTAAATTACTATTTTCATAAAGTACCTAAAATGGTTCAAAATTATTTAAAACTTTGCTACAGAAACAAATATTAAATACCCATTATGCGTCAAACGTACATACATTAAAAAATATATACTAAACCATATTTACTTTGTGGGATTTTTTTTTTAGTATATACAAATTCTGATGTCTTAACCTTCTTTCTTTTTTAATTTTATAAAGAAAAACTCTCATGCTAGCAAAAAAAGAGAAGGTAAAGGAAATTCCCAAATCATCTATTTGGTATAATATATATCACTATCAATCCCCAAATAAAAAGTTGTGTCAAGCCATATAATATTAAACAGACTGATCAACAGCTAATAATTAAAATCAAAGGAAACTTTAAAAATACTCAAGGTAAATAGCATTACTTGTTAGAAAAAGATACATTAACTACCTTAAAAATATAACAAATTAAAAATCCCACAACATAAACCAGACAGAATAAATTAGCTGGTTTTATGTTTGGCTTTGTTTAAAAATAAGCCAGTACATATACAAGGGCTTTGTATATATTATCATTTCCAAAAAACAGAAAATTTTCAATAACTTAAATTTGGCCGTTCATCTCTTTAAAATCCTGTGTTTTAGAAGGCATGAGTTCTACTTACCACATATTTTACAGCACTTATAAACTGGTTGTGGAAGAGCAGATGCTGCGTTTCATCTTCTGGATTTGAAGCTGTGTAAAGCATGCCACAAACATTACAGGAAACTGCTCCAAATCTTTTTTGTCCTGCATCCTATGTATAAAAACAAACAAGAGGGTTTTTTTCCTCCGAAAAGAATAATCCTAGAACATTAGCCTCTAAAGCTATGGTGTGAACATAAAGTGAGAAATATTTAATCTATAATAAATAATATACAATGTTGATAACAAAAATGAAGATGTAATCTTTGAAATCTGTGTGCAGCTTTTTCAAGAACTGTTTCCATTTTAGTAATTTCATCATTTACCCCACAGCACTTAAATGAAAGGAATTGAGAAATATCTTTAACACTACAATCTTAGTCCTAAAGCCCCAAATAGCAAAATACTCTACAAATGAGAATATATATATTTTTTAATCGCAATATTTATCCTGTTAAAGTTTAGAGAAAATAGTGTTTTATAGTCTGTTTTAAATACCTTAAGTCTGTTCTTTTTAATGGTTTTATCCTCGTTTGTAGATATTAAAAAGTATTTTGATGTCACCTGAAACTCTTGAGAAAGGTAAAATTAAATTTTTTCTATTATCTTTATATTAAATAAGTACAAAAGACTGACTACAATCACCTATTGTCCAGTAATTTATGCTTGTACTGTAGAATAGTAATTGTTTACCAAATGCTTTTTATTCTTGGCCTTATTCAACAAGAAAATTTCAGGAATATGATCTAACTTTAAGAATAAAACAAAAACAATTCTTCTATTCTTTCTGTTCTAAAACTGTGCAATTTGAACTAATTACTGGAAACAAAAAATCTAAGATTAGTACCTTAGAACAATTTGTGATTGTGGTTAAGAGATATATATACACCCCCCCACACACAACATATTTACCATGTTAACCATTTTTAAGTGTATAGTTCAGTAATGTTAAATACACTTTAATATTATGCAACCAATCTCCAGAATTCTTTTCGTTTTGCAAAACTGAAACTTTATACCCATTAAACAGCCCTCCATTCCCCTTCCTACCCAACTCCTGGAAACTACCTGGTTCTAGAAGACTTCCCTCAGAATGATGATGACAAGGAGCGTCTGCAGCGGAGGCATTCCGGGGCCTTTGACCCATTCAGTTTAACATAGGCTTGCCCTGTTACTGGCCTCCCCATCCAGTCAGTGAGTGTGTTCTGGGACTTTCTGTCTATGAATCTGACTAATCTAGGTACCTCAGAGAAGTGGAAGCATACAGTATTTCTCTTTCTGTGAATGGCTTATTTCACTTAGCTTAATATCCTCAAGATTCAACCATGTTGTAGCATTTCCTTCCTTTTTAAGACTAAATAATATTCCAATGTAAGCATACACCAAATTTTGTTTACCCATTCATCCAATGATAGACACTCTGGTTGCTTCTACCTTTCGCTATTAAGAACAATGAACATCAGTATACAAATACCTCTTCAAGAAGGCAGTTTTCATAGGAATGAGTAAGCATTCCTACCCCAATTTCGTCATTGGTAAATGGGAAACAATAGTAGTACTGATCTCATGTGTGTGTTTTTTTTTAAATATGGCTTAATTTCATTAATATGAGTGTAGTGCATGGAAAAATGCATTCAAAAAGTCTTAGCTGCTTTCATTATAATTAGCATCATCCTCATCCTTATCACCTCCGGAACAACACTACCCAACAGAAATGTGATCCACAAATGTAATTTTAAATTTTCTAGTAGCCACATTAAAAAATGCAAAAGCAAACAGGTGAAATTAATTTTATAATATATTTAACAAAACATATCCCAAATATCACAATTTCATTATATATTAAATATTTAAAAAATCTGTTAGTGATATACTTTACGTTCTCTTTCTTTTGTACCCATCTTTGAAATGCAGTATATTTACACTTACAGCATATCCCAATTCTGATGAGCCAGGTTACAAATTCTCAAAGCCAGATGTGGCTACTGTATTGGACAGTGCAGCCCTAGGTTCCACTTGTCTAATTCTGTTTCACTATCATACTGATCTGACAACAGAAACATTATTAAATTGTATAAAACAACTCTTTCCCCCACTAATCCTTCTCAAAAATTTCTAGACAATTCTTGCAAAGTTACTCTTCATATTAAACTTAGAATCAATCATCCAATCCCCCCAAATCCTATTACGTTGACTGAAACTACATTAAATATCCTTATTATTTCATTTTTTATATTATTAAAATCAGATCTTTCATCAATCAAAGTATCTCCCTCTCTTTTCTACCTTACAACCAAATTGTAAAGTACCTATGTTCTATTTGAAATTAACTATTGGTTTACCTTCCTGTAAAATATAGTTTTAAAATTATAATATACTAAAATATAAATATTTAAAATCATTTTATGTATTATGCTCCACGTTATTTTAATATTTAAACCAACTACTAAAAGACAGATCAAATGACATATTTCAGAAAGTAAAAAATATAAAGTATCAATCTGTTATAAATAATAGAAGTATATAAATTTGAGTTTTTTAAATCCTCACCCAAGGATATATTAAGAGAGAGGAAGGGAGAGGAAGAGGGAGGGAGGGGGAAGGAGAGAGAAAGAGAGAAACACTGATCAGTTGCCTCCCATATGTGACCCAACCGTTGAACCTGAAACCTAGGTATGTACTCTGGGAATCGAAACCACAACCGTTTGATGTATGGGACGATGCTCCAACCGACTGAGACACTGGCATGACAAATTTAAACTTTTATTCTTTGTTATAATGGACTCACTATTTGGGAGTTAGGGGGAGATTTGTAATGATATCAGGAATATTTACATAATTACAAAGAAAGGGTCTTTAGAAAAAGGGAATGAATTCATTCTTTAACAACATGCATGACTAAGGTGCTCATGGCCCAGCTGGCATGGCTCAGCCGTTGAGCAGTGACCTATGACCCAGGAGATCATGCGCACTTCAATTCTGCATGGTTTGATTTCCGGTCAGGGCACATGCCCCAGATGCAGGCTCGATCCCCAGCAGGGGGTGTGCAGGAGGGAGCCAATCAATGACTCTCATCACTGAGGTTTCTATCTCTCCCTCTCCCTCTCTCTGAAATCAATAGAAACATTCTAAAAGTAAAATAAAATGCTTATGACAACACTTCACCAAAAAGGTCAAGTTGTATACTTACTATGATCAACTGTTTTTCATCAGCTTTCTCTGCTTCTTTTAATTTCAAATCCTTTGGAATTGTTATCTCCAAATGGGAATTACACTTGGGCCAAGAATGATTTGGTGGTGTCTCCCTTTAAAAAAACAAAAAGATTAGTAAATGTTATAGATCTGTATCACTTCAAATTACTTGAAGGAAAAAAATAACTTATTTTCTATACAACGCTGACAAATTTCAACTCCAAGTGGGGGGAAAACACCTTTAAAAAATCAGAGATAGAAAACCCAAGAATACTACTAAGTTTCAACAAATAAAAAACTGCAGCACCTACTATGGTTTGAAAAAGTTTTATAGTTTTAGCCATCTGAGTCACTACAATTTGTCCTAAACACGGTTTTCAGTAATCTCTAAGGTAAAATAAGTCAGATTTAATTTAATTATGGCATTAAAACAAAAAGCTTCTGATCTACTTAAAAAACTTCTACATGTTGATAATATCCAGCATTTCGAGGGGTTTGAGAAAAGGGACTTTCTCAAACACCTTCTCCAAGAATAAAAAGACTTTGGAGGGAAATTTGGCAATGCAGGTGAAGACCTTTAGCTATGAAATTTATCCTAGATGTAAGTCACACAATTGGGAAAAGATATATGTACTTCTTACAGGACTTTGTTTTTAATAGAACTAAACTAGAAAGCAAAATGTCTATAAAAGTGAACTGTTAAATAAGGAATAAAATCTAATGTAGATTTTTGAAAGAATGCACTAAGATGGAAAAGATGCCCAAAATACATTAAAAAACGAAAGCTACAAAACAGTATATATAGGCATAGAAAAAATATATAACGAAAGAGAACTTGCAAATATCATTGTCTATGTGAAAAACTGAGGGTTACAAGCATAACTTTTTGGGGGAAAATGTCACAAACTCAAAATTTACGTTAAAATACTTATATTCTGTAAAAAAAAGACAGCAGACCTAAAATGGAGTCACTTATGCTAAGCCCCAAGTTATCAACTCGAAGCTTAGTTTTGGCTCTCCCAGAAATAGAATCTTAACCAATCAACCAGAATCACCTGTCAGCTCTAGTTAAGGCAGTCGTGGGGAATGTCCAGCCTGCAGGCCAAAATCATTAGGTCTGGCCCTGCCAAGGCAACCACGGGTGGGATTCAAAATTCAATAAATATAGGAGCTTTTTTCAAAGCTAATTTTTAAGTTGATAATTCTGTATGACCCATGAATGATGTTATAAATATTGATATGACCCCCTTGGCAGAAAAAAGGTTCCCCACCCTGCCCTAAGGATCATAAAGTAATTCTGCAGTAACCAACCCACCTTTTTTGCCAGTAGAACTTCCTGTTCCCATTCCCTCTGCATATAAAAGTCTTTCATTTTGTATAGCTCCTTGAAGCTCCTATCTGCTAGAAAGAATGCTGCTAAATTCTAATTGATTTTACTCAAATAAACTTAAAATTTTTAATATGCTTCAGTTTAACTTTTAGCTGTCGTCATATTTACACTTATGTTAAACTAATACCTTACCTGGTATCAATGGTCTTAGATGTTTGGTTATTGAGTACACTGTGCTGTTGGGGAGCTGAACCTGTAATTTAATCACGATGGGTTATATATTAAGCTTTATACTTGCTCTCCATCTAATAAAATCATTTTACAGGGGGAAAGAAGCTCAATACATTAACTGCTTTATTTTTCATTAAAGACCATTTGATAAAATTAGAGCTCCTTTTCTAGAAATTACTCTTCAGGGAAGAGGCAGAAAGGGCCACAAAGAGATCTAATGGTAGATTAACAAAAGTATGCCTCTAGTTTTACCAATAATTAAAAGAACTGAACACAGGAAATTGTTTAAATGCCTGCATAATTATATAACCTCTAAATAGAAATAAATAAAAACATTTCTTTTTTTGTAATCCTCACCTGAGGATATTTTTTCCATTGCTTTTCAGAGTGGAAGGAGGGGGCAGAGAAAGAGAGAGACAGAGAGAGAAACATGGATGTGAGACACACACTGATTGGCCGCCTCCCACACACACTCTGACCAGGGCTGGGGATTGAGCCTGCAACTGAGGTAGGTGCCCTTAGCTGGNGGGGCAGAGAGAGAGAGAGACAGAGAGAGAAACATGGATGTGAGACACACACTGATTGGCCGCCTCCCACACACACTCTGACCAGGGCTGGGGATTGAGCCTGCAACTGAGGTAGGTGCCCTTAGCTGGAATCAAACCCGGTACCCTTCAGTCCGTGGGCCAATGCTCTAACCACTAAGCCAAACCGACTAGGGCAAAGCATTTCTTCGTTTAAAAAAGTTATAGTCTCTGGAGTTTTAATCACATTAATAAATAATGCAATAATTAGCCCTGGCTGAAGTGGCTCAGGTGGTTGGGCGTCATCCAGTGCACTGAAAGGTTACTGGTTCGATTTCCAGTCAGGGCACATGACCAGGTTTCCGGCTTAATCCCTGGTAGTGGGCGTGCAGGAGACAGCTGATCAATGTTCCCCTCTGACATCAATGGTTCTCTCTCTCTCTCCCCCTTCCTCTTTTTCTAAAAATGTATTTTAAAAATGTTTTGAAAATAATGCAATAGTTCATTCATTTTATTTTGCAATGCATAAATGTATTTCTCATGTTCATATTATATTTCCCCTTGCCCCACTAAGAGAAAACGTTAAATGACATCCAATGGAAGAAATTATCTGACCTCAAAATTTTCCTCCTTAAGCAAAGAAACAACATGAATTAGGAATTTCTTTTCTATACCCCCCAGTATTACTTCTGATATAGGTGAGCAAATCCACATCTAACACTTCAAATAATATATTATCAAAACATTTTCACAAGGTTACAAAAATAAATTTCTGTATGGTATAGGTATAAAATTACAGCATTTATTAAATCTTTAATTCAAAGACAGATCACTAGAATGGAAAATTGAATAACTGAGGGCCTAAAGATAAACACCTGAAATACTAAAGCACAGTCATTTATACTTGAGAAATAAGCTGCTTCTACACTAACTTAGGCAATTCATTAAATAATACTTCAGTCACAAACAAAACAAAAGATTTAAAATAGACAAAAGAATGTTTGGTAGGGAGTCAAAGAATCATACCTAAGTTCTTTAAACAAGTCAATCAATAGAAGCAATTCTCCCTCAAATAATGGGAATAATCACACATTTGAAAAACATAAGCAATGGTTAAGAAGGATTTAACAGGTCTATCTGGTAGTCCACATGGTTTCCTGTTATACTGACATTAAAAATATCTCTGAAAACTGTAAAATCCAAATAATATTTTCAAAGTGTTACCTGAAAATTTACTCTCCCTTGTATCAATCTTTGCTTGACTGAGCAGAGTTGAAACAGTAGTGTTATTTTCCACTGGATTGTTTTCCAGTTTAGATTCCAAACACAGGCTGAAATTCTGAACACATAATTCAAAATGTTAAGATTTGGTTTTATATCAATCTTTGGCTCTTATCCCAACACACTTTCAGTGAATTTTAGCATACTAAGAAAATTTAAGATAATTATTTTTATTTGAAGTAATTCACCGATTTGTACCTTAAAAGTCTCTTCATGATCTCCCCACAAGCTATTCTCTCAGCATCAGCTCCATCATGCTAACCTGAAAAACTTACTTCTCCCACAGTACATTCCATATTTGCTTGGCTCTATACTTTTTCAAAGTTTTATCTACCTAAACCTGCACTGCCCAATACAGTAGCCATTGCCACATTTGAGTACTGAGCACTTAAAATGTGGTTGGTAGGTTGATTGGAGACGTTATAAATGTAAGTCACACACTGGATTTTTAATAGTACCAAAAAAAGGGTAAAATATTACAACCTAAAAAAAATGATTACATGTCAAAATGATAGTATAATTTATATGACAGAATTAATAAAATATAATACTTTTACCAGTTTTTCTTTTCTTTTTCAAAGCTACCAGAAAACTTAAAGAAGATATCTGTGGTGCACATTTCTACTGGATAGTGCTGATCTAGAACACTTTTCTTGCTGTATAAACTCAACTCATTACTTAAATATTACCCTCTTGTCCTGGCCTGTTTGGTTCAGTGGTCAAGAGCATCGGCCTGCGAACCTAAGGGTCGCAGGTTCGATTCCCGGTCAAGGGCACATACCTGGGTTACAAGTTCAATCCAAGCAGCAACCAATTAATGTCTCGCTCTCACATCGATGTTTCTCTCTCTCTCCCTCTCTCCCTCCCTTCCATTCTCTTTAAAAAAATCAATGGAAAAAATATCCTCGGGGAAGGATCAAAAATATAAGAAGTTGAACTAGAATGAGAAACATGGGCATAAAGAAATAAAATGGCAATAGGTAAGTACCTATCAATAATAACCTTAGGTATAAATGGATTAAATATCCCAGTCAAAAGACAAAGGGTAGCTGAGTGGATGAGAAAACAAGACCCAAATATATGCTGCCTACAAACGACTCTCACAGGCTAGGGGGGGGAATAAAACTTCTGGAAGACTTTAATGGAGAGATCGACAGCAATACAGTCACAGTAGGGGAGTTTAACACCCCACTGACTTTACTGGATAGATCTTCCAGACAAAAAAAAATCAACAAGGAGACAGTGACTAAATGACACACTAGATCAGATGGATTTAATTTACATTTACAGAACATTCCACTCCAAAGCTGTAGAACAGGCATTCTCCTCAAGTGCACATGAGACATTCTCAAAGATAGAGCACATGTTAGGACATAAAACAAATCTCCACAAATTTAAGAAGATTAAAATCACACCAAGCATCTTCTCGGACATTTACATAATGGAATACTATGCAGCTGTAAAAACAAAGAATCTTTTACCCTTTGAGACAGCATAGTGGGACCTGGAGAGTATTATGCTAAGCAAAATAAACCAGTCAGAGAAACACAAGTGTCACATGCTCTTACTCATATGTGGAATCTAATGAACAAAATAAACCAATGAACAAAACAGATCTGGAGACATAGAAGCATGGAACAGACTGATGAATCTCAGAGGGAAGGCGGGGTCACTGGCTGGGTGGGGAGAGATTAACATAAGAATTTATATGCATATATGCATAACCCATGCACACAGACAATAGCGGGGTGAAGGCCTGGGGGAGGGGTACAGGTTGGAGGGGATCAAAGGGGACATTTGTAATATTTTCAACAATAAAGATAAATTTAAAACAATTATGTGTACACACACACACACATATATATCTTCCCCTAAAGCCTTTTCCAAGCTTCCCCATCCCTTTCCCCAAATTTGGAATAATTCTCCATCTACTTCCTATCTACCTCTTTCATGCCCTTATCACTTCCTATTTTTTATATTCCATTATATTTATCTCTGTATCTCTAAGGGCTCCTAAATCAGAACCTTGTCAAAGCAGATACTCAATAACTTCCAAAAGAAAATACTCTAATCTCTATCAACACTGGCTATCTCAGAGAAATGGAAATAAGAAGGAAAACAGTTAACTTTCTGTGCGCATGTATATATCTATCTGTAGTGAGATTGTTACAATGAATGTGTAACATTATTTTTGAACATTATGTTTTTGAAAAAGATCAACATTTTTCCATTGAAAAAGCAGAAAAATTAAGAACAAGAACAATGTTACCAATTAATCTTCATTAAAAGGAAGTTAGTAAATTACTGGTTTAAAAAACAAATTATAAAATATTTAAGCCTTACAATCCACAAGTACAAATAATTTAAATTCATCCCAAAGAATTCACAGAAGGCCGATTAGATGAGATGCTTAAACTTATCAAATCATCTTTTCCCAGTACAGCTGAGACTGGCACTGTATAATTAAAAGAGCAAAATTATAAGCAGCCCTAGAAAAAGTTTACACATGATGTAAGGTTTGTTTTCACATTCTCCTACACACAGAAACTGTTAGCATTTATATAAACATTTAAATCACAAACAGTGCTGAATATTCTTTCTGAATATATATAAACATACACAGTAAAATCATAAAAAGAAAAATCTACACCAACTTCAGGAACATGTTTAACTCTGGGAAGAAAAGTAAAATGGAAAGAAGAGGAGGCATTTAACTATATCTGTAATGTACTTTTCTTACTTTAGAAGACCCAAATTCAATAAAATGTTAATTTTTGTCAAATTTAAGTGATAGAAACAAGTGTAATATTAGTCTCTGTAGTACTCAGAATGTTTGAAATAGTCAAGAATTTTCAAGTGTAAATAATGTGTGTTTTTTTAATCCTCACCCTAGGGTATTTCTTCCATTGCTTTTCAGAGAGAGTGGAAAGGAGAGAGAGAGGATGTGGGGGAGACAGAGAGAAACACTGATGTGAGAGAGACACATGGATCAAGCCTGCAACTGAGGTAAGTGCCCTTGACTAGAATCAGAGACCCTTCAGTCCAAGGGACAACGCTCTAATCACTGAGTCAAACCAGCTAGAGCTGTAAATAAATATTTTTAACACAAGTTTCATAGGATTGTTTCTCATGTTCCTCAAGACAGAGGGACTGTATAAATCCAAAGCACATTTTAATAAAAGCAATAATATAGGTTAAAATAGCGTGGTCTAAGTAAGCATCTCTACTCTAGTACAGTTTAGTCTAGAATAAATAAAAGAAATAAAATTACATTTTATTCTTAAATAAATAACATTTCTTAGTCTTCAATATATTCCCTATAAACTGTCTGCCCTTCAAGTTTTGACAAGTATTTATGCATCAAGGAGTTAGAAGATACACTCTCCAGCAACACTTCGGAGTACAAGCTATAAGTCTGCTGACAAAACACACCCTGAATAGAAAGCCAGCCCATCTCTACAAGCAGTCATATTTATTACTAATACTACTACTAACTACTTGCTTCTAATTACTATCACTATTTGAATAATTATCTTCTAATTGATGCTTTCATTCCCATTTTTACAGAAAATAAAACTTAAGAGTACCATATGGTGCCTGTTCCCTTGAAGTTCACTTTGATTTTTACTCCACAAGAACAGACAATGATCTATATTTTCATTGCTTCTGGCACAAAGCCCAGACTTCTCACTCATTCAAATTTGCTCCTAGACCAAAATGCCTCTAAAAAGAGCTCTAAATCACTCACAAAATTTCTAATGCTCAGAGTATGTTGCTACAGAAAAAATGTTGGGCCCTGGCAGGGTGGCTCAGTTGGTTGAGTGTTGTCCCAAAAAGTTGCAGGCTCAATTCCCAGTCAGGGCACATACCCAAGTTGCAGGTTCAATCCTCAGTCAGGCGCATGTGGAGGAGGCAACCAATCAATGTTTCACTCTCACATTAATGTTTTTCTCTCGCTCTCTTCCTTTCTAAAATCAATTTTTAAAAAAGGCATGTCCTTGGGTGAGGATTAAAATAAAAATTCTTAGTCACTATAATTTCTTAAAGATTGAATTACTTACATCTTTCAGACATATTATTTGCCAACTATTCAAAATGGCAAACCAAAGGGATCTACTAACAGAAATGTTTAATTTTTTAATTTTATCAATTGCTGAATATAGGCTGACTTGTGCCAGCTGAAATGAATTTTAACAGCTTGGTCAGAATTGAGCTCAACTTTAAATTCTACAGTTTAGTCACTATTAAAGAATAGTTTCTGTTGTTACAATTAACAGAAAAATGAAACATATCACTATGTTAAATGAAAAAGAAAAGCTAGAATTCAACAGGTTTATGCTTCATATAAAATATAAATAAAGGGTGAAAATGAGGAAACAATGAGAAGCATTCATGTAAATGTGAGGCATCTAAAGAGCTCAGTAAATTCTATCACTCACGACAAGATTAGATTATTAAAACTCTTGCAGATACCTCAGCAAATGACTCTTCACTTTTATGATTCCTAAGATAAAATATGTTGCAAACACTTATTTCTTATTAAAAAGTACTCAGACACCCCTATTGTGCATAATGAAAATAGATTACCTTATTTGGTGTTGATTCAAAAGAATCTTTCATCTGGTTATCCAATGGTGGGTCAGGAGGTGGTTTTATCTGATTATCCAAATGAAAATTTTCAGGAGCCCTTTTTGTGGTTTTATTAATTTCAACTGTAAAACCACCAATTTTAATTTCTTCAGAATTAATTTCTTTCTTTTCTTCCTGCTGGCAAGCTATATTTTTATCATGGGGTTTTGTCCCTAAAAATGTACTCTGAGTCACTGGATGAGGCATTTCTAATGTTGGTAGTGAAAAATTAGTCCGTAATAAGCCCAATTTAGGGGAAACTTGAGAGTCCAACTTATTTTGCTGCACAGAGTTAAATTTTGAGAGTTTAATTTTAGTCCAGTTGGAGTTCTTTTTAGTTGAGCTGTTTATTCCATTTAGTATACATTTCACAGGCTTTGTTTTTCTACTGGGGAAGAAACGATTACATTGAACATCCTGATTTGTTTCCTTCTGATGAAGTATTTGTCTTTCAACATCAGCCTCTTCCAATTTTTTTTCTGTAGGCTTCTCCTCCTTTATACTTTCCATTTGTGAAGATTCCTTTTTTACCTCTACAGTATCTGACTCGATTTCACCAGCAATTTCTTCACAGAGCTGGAGAATGCTACCTCGTTTGCTCTTTCCTGCCTGTTCATTATCTACGCTTTGTTCAGGCACTGATGACTGTGAACTTTTCGGGGATTTTGCACTAATATTCACTTGTGAATGAACTGATTTCTTTGTCTCATTTTTTTTAGAGACCACTGTAGTAGCCATTTTTGATCTTTTTATCTCAGAAGTTACAGGCACAGATTTTGTTTCCTCTTTCCTAGTATTCTTCTGAAGAGAGTTTTCAGATCCTTTTATGCATTGAGAACTATAAGCATAAGCTGTCTGATGCTCTACTTTGCGTTTTTTTCCTTTGGGGGAATTTATTACTTCATTAATGACTGGATTTTCATCCTCTTTACAGTCTGACTTTATTTCCAGTACTTTTCTTTTCACATGTTTTTGACTTGTCTTAACTTTATTAGATTTATTCTGAGTATTGCTACAGTACTCTCTTCTTGTTGGTGGCAAACTCTGTTTAACTGCTTGAACTTGACCCTGAACTTCTCTACTTCGCAGAGACCTTGTTGAAACCTCTGTAAGCTGCTGTAGTCTTTGTGATCTCCGGTTAGGCTGTTCATTTGATTTAGGGGTTTCATGCACTGATTTTTTCTGAGATTTCTTTTTTGTAGATTCTTGTTGTGAATGTCCCTTCACAGTCACCATATTTTTATTAATGGACTTACTAGCTTTTTCATCACTGGATGCTGCCTTCGCTGACCTTGTACTCATACATGCCCCTAATTCAGGCTGATTTATTTTACTTTCACTGGAAGATTTAATCATTGATTTTATAGCTTGCTTTGGACCTGATTTTTTTGCTAGATTCTTTTGAGAACCTTGAATTTGTGCTTCTAAATTCTTATCATCACTTTTTTTAATAACATTGGAGGAATTTTCTTTTGATTTCTCCTGAATGGACATTGTTCCTGAGTCAGGTCCTCCTTTTCTGAATAGCTTCTGAGAGGATTTTCGTATCCTGGTAGGTGCAAATGCTATGTCCAGTACTGTTACTGAGAAGCAGGTCTTAAAAATTGCCTTTGATGCTGATACACATTTTCAACAAAAATACCAGTTTGCCTCAAGTAAGGTTTCTGTCATCCCTAGGACATGATAAAAGCTGGCATGAAGGCTGAAAGATACTTGCTTTACTTTTAGCAAGGCAACAGAAATTTGAAGAAAACTGAATTTTAATTTGATATTTTTGAACTTTTCATGAAAAATATGTAATTCAGGTTCAATCTGTTTTGTTAATTTTTCAATTAATATTGGTTTTCAGGCCAGCCCTATTACTGGAGGAGTTATTTATCACTGACCTGTCTTGACAAAGTTTTTGAAAACTTTTTTCTTCTGGAGTCTAGAGATATTGGACTTTGATTCATTTGAAACATGTCTTCTCTTATTTGCTGAGTCTGTTGATTTAAAGTTCTTATATAACCTCTTTAGTTTAATAAAATATTTTATTAATATAGATATCCTTTTGTGCTGCCATTTCTGAAAAATAAAAAAAATAAATGAATAAAATTTTGTCCAATGCAAGAAAAATGGCAATGCTAATACTATACAGAAATAATCTTTATTTATATAAGCTCAGACGGGCGTGGCTCAGTGATTGAGCATTGACCTAGGATCCAGGCGATCGAGGTTCGACTCCCGGTCAGGGCACATGCCGGAGTTGCAGGCTCGATCCCCAGTCAGGGGTGTGCAGGAGACAGCCCATCAATGACTCTCTCATCATTGATGTTTCTATCTCTCTCTCCCTCTCCTTTCCTCTCTCTGAAATCAATAAAGATACATTTAATAAATAAATAAATAAAATCTAACTTCTCCTTTTAAATTACTTAGTCTATATAATTAAGGCTAACAGAATAAAATATCCCAAGTACATTCTTATGAATAATTAATACTGGGTCTTTCATAATATGCATCAACGTTGAAAATTAGTTTGTTACTTGAGGTTACTTACAGTTCTTTTCCCACAAGACAAAATTGATCTTTCAGCCACCATAACTCATGAAAATTTGACAAAATCATTCCTTATAATATTTCAACACATTACATAGAACCTAAAAAAAAAAAAGTATTTTTAGATGTTTAAAAGGTACAAAGGAAAAAATGTAATCATTCACCTCTCATCAAATATCACACTCCATAATTTTACCCTGTCCTATCATTAGTCTTCAGAGCCCACTTTATACACAGCATAACTTCAGCATTTCTAACATGAAGTAAACGATGTTACATGCATCCAAAAGAATACCATGCATCAATTCTATGTCACAAAAAAAAGTCTTAAAATTCAAAAAAATTCATCATGTGCATATAACTTTAGACTGGTAAAATAAAATTCTATTTTGAGGAAAAGCAGTGCTACATAAATAACTCTATACATAGAAAAACAATGACAGTTAAAAAGGCAAATTTAGCCCTGGCTGGTGTGGCTCAGTTGGTTGGAACACTGTCCCATGCACCGAAGGGTCACAGGTTGATTCCTAGTCAGGGCACATACCTAAGTTGCAGGTTCAATCCCCAGTCAGGATGCGTGCAGGAGGCAACCAATCAATGTTTCTCTCTCACATCAATGTCCTTCTCTCTCTCTCACTCTCTCCCTTCCTCTCTCTCTAAAATCAGTAAATAAATAAAAAAGGTTACTTCTGAGATTTCTCCATATAGAAAAAATGCAACTTTAAACACATACGTTAACCTCTACTCTCATGTAAAGCCTACTTAAAAAGAAATACACTAGCCCAGCCGGGCGTGGCTCAGCCGTTGAGCGTCGGCCTAGGATCCAGGCAATCAGGAGTTCGATTCCCGGTCAAGGCATATGCCCGGGTTGTGGGCTCGATCAATGACTCTTTCATCATTGATGTTTCTCTCTCTCTCTTCCTCTCTCTGAAATCAATAAAGATATATTTAAAACAAGACAAACCCATAAATCCAAAGGAAAAGATAAAAAGATAAAAATTAAAAATGTAAAAGCTACAAAGAACAAATAATAACTAACCTCAGACTCAAGAAAACCTGAATCCCAAGCTGGAAATGGAAAAAACTAAGAAGCAGAACTACTTAAACCACAGAATCCCCCAGGATTCAGGATCTAGTAGTACCAGGATCCATCAGAGATGGGGATAAAAATGGGACCCAAGAAAAAGAAAAAGGAAGACTCCCAGACTGCTTTTCCAATTACTAGCACCCAGAAGACTGCCCTGCATCACTCCCTGAAGACTGGAGGTATAAATCTCTGGCAGGAGTAAAACAAAAGGTCTTACATCTACGGGCTCAACAGCCACAGCTGAGGCAAGAAGTAACAAAGTGATAACAGAAGAAATTAAGTAGGAGTGCATATACTAACTGCTGAAACCACTCCCTCCATCCAAAACCCTCTTTGCCTACTCAAAGACTCCAAGAGGACAGCAGCCAAGTCAAGCCTTCTACAAAGAAAACAGAAAGATTTTCTAATGAATCTGACAAGTCTTGAGAAAAGACCTAAAAAACCCCAATAGGGCCCACTCAGTAAAAGCAGAGAGACAGAGACACACAGACACAGAAACACACACACACCGGTCAAGATGGTGGCATAGGTAAAAACAGTACTCGAATCCTCCCACAACCACATCAAAAATCAACCAATGAATATATAAATAAGTGGAACAACAAATAGAAGTTTCCCTCTCTGTCTCTCTCAAATCAACAAAAAAAATTTTTAAAAGTGCCCTAGCCAAAAGAATATACTGCTTAACACCCCTTCACCCTGCGAAAAAACAACAAAAATCTCATATTGGGACTGGCAGAAGGGGCAAAGATGATGACCGTAGGCAGACTGGTCCCACACCTAAGTGTGGCAGGTAATATCAGGAGGAATACCTAGGCTGCAGAGGTCCCCCCTGAGGAGTGAGGGAGTCCTAACCCACACCACGTCCCCCAGCCCAAAGTTCCAGGCCAGGAAGAGAAGTCCCCATTAACTTCTGGTTGTAAAAACCAGCAGGGTTTGTGGCTGAGTGAGTCAGAGGATGGCTGGAGACTCAGGTGTTCCTGTTAAAGGGCCTGTGGGGACTTACTCGGACTCACCTGCTTTGAACTCGTGCTTGAAAGGCACCAGGGACATACAGGGAGGAATTGAATTGTCTGACATCAGAGTGAACGCTGGAGAGGCAGCTTTCCTCCAAGCAGAAGTGCTCTCAGAGGCCACTGTTCCTTTTCTGGGCCTCCCCCCATAGAGCTGGCAGGGGAGTCTCCATCAACCTGTTAACCCCATCTAGGTGATTTCCTAAAACATCACCCCACCCAACTTGCAGGCCCAACCCAAGCATTTTCATTGATTGGCTCAATACAAATGTCCTATCTTGGCTCATCTTCAAACTTCCCTAAAATCTCTCAAGCAAGCAGCATCTGGCCTCGGCATGCCCTGTACGTCTTGCTAAGTGGCACCAGGCCTGGCACTGGCAGCAGCTGGCCTTGGTTCGCAGCTTGGCCTTTCCTGAGCCAAATCGGCCTGGGCTAAAGCAAGTATTTTTTAACATGTTGCAAAGGAAATACAATTAAACAAGGAGAAATAATAAACAAAAATGTGAAGACAGCAAATTATTATTTACAAAAAAAAAGAAAAATCCAAGACAGTCAATAGAAAAACTATTAGTATGTGAATTCAGTATGGTGAATAGGTTAAAAAATAAACATTAAAAATCCAAAACCTTTAAATAAACAATAATCATCTGAAATCTATTATCACATACCAGTTCCAACAATACACACATATATAAATTAAAAAATAATAATAATGGGGCCCAGCCGGCGTGGCTCAGTGGTTGAGCACTGACCTATGATCCAGATCGTGGTTTGATTCCTGATTAGGGCACATGCTTGGGTTGTGGGCTCACTGGGGACGTGCAGGAGGCGGCCAATCAATGACTCTCATCATTGATGTTTCTCTCTCTCTCTCTCTCCCTCTTTCTCTCTCTGAAATAAAAGATATATTTTTTAAAAAGGGAATGGGGTGTAGATTTGTGCTTGCTGATATTAAAATACCTGTAGTTGTAATAATTAACAAAAACAGGCCCAAATGCCTAAGGAAATTTAGTACATATAAAGGTAGTATTAATTTCATATTAATGACGAAAAAATTATTCAACAATTAGTATTAAGACAACCAGGTAACCATCTGGGTAATTCTGGCTTAAGAGGGAGGTGATGGCCCAGTGTGGCTCAGTTGGTTGGAGCGTTGTCTCTATGCACTGGAAGGTCTTGAGTTCGATCTCCAGTTGGGGTCTGTAGAGGAGGCAGCCAATCCAATGTATCTCTCTCACATAGATGCCCCCCTCTCTCTCCCTTTCTAAAATCAATTTAAAAAAATCGTGAGGTGATGTCCAGAAAAAATATAATCATTAAAAACTAAACCATAAAAACGGTATGTGAGATATTTATTTTCCAAAAGGGAAAGACTTTCAAACCTTGTCACAAAATTCTGAAGCCAAGTTTGAGAGACAAAACTAGGGGAAAATACTGGCAAAAATAGCAAAAGCCAATACATACTATATTCACAGGAAAGAAACCACAAGTGGCTAGTCTGATAACAACAAAATAATATAAATATAAAGAACTATGGGACCAAGTGTCAGAAGTGCGAAAAAAGCTTACTTTTTACTATATACCCATTTAATGTTTTATATGTAGACATATAACCTTGTCAAAAAATTAAAATGTAAGTCAAATTTCTCTCTGAAAGTACAAAGTATCATCTTGGAAGGCATTAAATTATAAAAGTATAAGTCACTTACCTTACTGAAATGGAAATCGCATATCACTTTTTTCTTTAGGTTGACTGATGCTTCTAATGAATGATGCTTCTAATAACTTCCCATTTGGGGATTAATGTTTAAAAAAAATCCTATAAGATAAAACATTTTTCTATTAACTGATATATTAGAATAACTTAGACTAAGCAAGACTAAGTAAACAATGGCCAATTTTCATGATTTTATGCAAAACATCACAAAGCTGCAATACGGGCACCATCTCATTTTATGCTGTTTAATAGATGTGGGTTTTCTTCAACAATAATCACTACATCCTACCCCAAACCCCACCTCCATGAAAGGAGTATATTTTCCTTCCCAACTGATGCTGAGCTTGGCCACATGCCTTACTTTGGACTCACGGTGGGCAAAGTATATTTCCCTGCCCCCATGTCTTGGTCATTTGACCTGCTTTGGCCAATGGGATATTAGCAGAAATGATGCAAACAAAGGTTTGAAATGTCTTTGTGTAATTAGGCTTGCTTTCTAATACCTCTGCCATTACTATGAGAAGAGTTTCACCAGGTAAACACTGCCCCTTCAGCCTAGGTCCCAGAATAAACACGAAGAGTGGAAGTGAGCCAAACCCCAAATAAGGTGCCAAGCCCAACCTACAATGGGAAGTAAAGCCCACCAGCGCCCACAGATGCACAGCCAAGTCTAACCAAAGTCACCTAACCCACAGATGCTCTACAGATGTATTAGCAAGAATTAATTGCTTCCAGCCAGTGTGACTCAGTGGTTGAGCAACGATTCATGAACCAAGAAATCAAGGTTCGGTTCCAGGTCAGAGCACATGCCTGGTTTGTGGGCTCAATCCCCAGTACAGGGTATGCAGGAGGTCGCCGATCAATGACTCTCTCTCATCATTGATGTTTCTATCTTTCTGTCCCTCTCCCTTTCTCTCTCTGAAATCAATAAAAACACATTTTAAAAAAAGAGTAATTTCATTACTAANCGTTTCTATCTTTCTGTCCCTCTCCCTTTCTCTTTCTGAAATCAATAAAAACACATTTTAAAAAAAGAGTAATTTCATTACTAACTTAATTTCCTTTATTACTTTAGCACTAAGAATCCTAATTTTTAAAAGGATAAGTTCCGTTATCATACTTTTTTCTCTCAACTTCTAAATATTTTAATACATTTGGCAGTTGGCACCTACCTTAGAAAAGAGGTAAATTGATATACAAATATATAGCAATTGTCAATCACCTGTTCAGATATGCTAAGGATAATTTCACTTTAGTTTGCCCTACATGTTAAATCATCACTAATCTAGCATTATACAACTTGGTATGTATAACTCCCTTTGTATTAAATAAAACCTTGCAATCAAGGACCAAAGTGCATTCCCTAACCTGTTAACAAATTGACAAGAAAACCCCTCTTCCCGGCCCCCCACACAACACATAGCTAACTTATTACTATAATCCTAATGAAATCAATATTGGGGCAAAAAAACAAACAAACAATAATCAAACTTTATATAAAATGAGCTCTTCAGAAAACCCACACTATCCTTTTTATTTTACTATAGAAAAATATTTACAAGATACATGTTAGAAAGAATTTAAGAGTATATCTGATTTCCCAAAGTGCTTTATAATGAAATGTACTCAAATATTAGTCAAAAGATTTACATTGTACGTATTTTAAGTTTAAAGTGATTTTTTGGGAAAACATTTTATAATTGAAATAAAATTCCTATACCATAAAATTTACATCTTTATACTGTACAATTTAGTGGCTGCCAGTATATTTGGAATTGTGCAACAACTGCCATTATCTAATTCCAGAATATTTTCCTAAGCCTTAACCAGTGTGTTAAGCCATACCACCCTAAATGTACCTATCTCCATAATATTTTCATTACCCCTAAAAGAAACCCCATAGCCATTAGCAGTCATTCCCCATTCACCACTCCTTCCAGTCCTTGAAACTACAAATCTACTTTCCACCTCTTACAAGATTTGGCCATTCTGGATGTTTCATACAAATGGAATTATAAAAACATTCAGCCTTTTGTGATTGGCTTCTTTCACTTAACATGTTTTCAAAGTTCAAGTAGCCTTGTAGCATGTATCAGAAATACCTTGTTTTTCATGCTGAATACTGTCCCATTGTATGAACATGCCACTTTTGTTTACCTATACATGAGTTGATGGAATATTTGAGAGATTGTTTCTACCGTTTGGCTCTCATGAATAATGCTACTATGAACAATCCTGAATGAGTTTTTGTGTGAAAATATGTTTTAGGTCTGAGTATATACCTAAAAGTGTAATTGCTGAGCCATATGGTAACTCTATGTTTAACTTTTGAGGAATTGTTTTCCAAACCAAGCTGCATCATTTTAAATTTCTACTAGCTATGAATGTGGGTTCCAAATTTTCCACATCCTTGTCAGCATTTATCTTTCTTACATCTTGGTCATCCTTTTGAGTGTAAGGTGGTATTCATTGTAGCTTTAATTTGCACTTTCCCAATGACTAATTACAAAGAGTATCTTTTCATGTGCTTACTGGCCATTTGCATTTCTTCTCTGGAGAAATGTCTATTAAAATCCTTTCCTAATTTTTAAAATTTAGTCATTTTCCTTTTTGTTATTGATTTGTAAGAGTTCTTTACCTGGATATTAGACTCTTATCAAATGTATAGCTTACAAAGATTTTCTCCAATATCTCAGTTGTCTTCACTTTCTTGACAAGAGTCCTTTGATATACAGATAATTTTAATATGAATAATTAATCTATTTTTTGTTGGTTGCTTGTGATTTAGGTGTCGTATCTAAGAAACTACTGCCTAATCCAAAACCATGAAGATATACATTTATGTTTTTCTTCTCCACTTTATATAGTTTTAGCTTACATTTAGATCTTTGATTCACCTTGAGTTCACTTTATATATGGTAAAAGGTAGAAGTAAAATCTTCATGTGGATACTCAAATGTCCCAGCACCATTTGTTAAAATGACCATTCTTAACCACTGAACTGTCTTGGCACTCCTGTTGAAAATCATTTGCCCATAAACATATGGGATTATGTCTAGACTCTCAATTCTGTTCCACTAATCCATATGATCTTATGACAGTACCACAAAGTCTTGATTACTGTAGCTTTGTAATAAGTTTTTTAATTGAAGTACAACTGCCATGTCAATTGTACAACATAATGATTTGATGTTTTCATTGTGAAATAATCACCACAGTAAGTCTAGCTAACATCTGTCACCTTACAGTTATGAAAAATTCTTTTTTCTTGTACTGAGTGTTAGATGGGCCAGGTACAGAAGCCGCGTACAGAAACCCGGGTACATAAACTCACCAGGACAGTAAGCCCTGGATGCCTAGGAAGGGACGAAACTGGGAAAACAAGAACCTTGTCCCCAGGATAATCTATCCTCTTCTAGTATAACGCTCCTCAGGTGGTTCAGACCCCCTGAGAGTTCCCTCCCTAAAGATAACATCTAGGCCACAGCTGTATTTCAGCTCCAGGCCCAGAAATACAGCAAGACCAGACAAGTAGCACTGTGGCTGCCACAGACCAGATATATTGACTAATGATCCCCTGCCCTGGCAAGACCAATCAATGGAGATCCAACCCTGAAAGAGTACACCTGGAAAGCTGTTGAATATCCTATTAAGACCCTCCCTTGAGATCTCCCCTAAGATTTCCATCTGCAAGAAAGATAAATACACTCAGGAAAAAGGACTTAGCAGAAGTTCCCCACAAGGGAAGCACGTCAGCGCCATCTCCAACCCTCCAAGGGGACCCCACAAGACCTGCAACCAGGGAAGCAATGGGCAGCAGCAGCTCATCCCAGGCTTACCCCCGAACTTGTCTCCAAGGCCCCCTTCTCTCTGACTTCTCAGTGAGCCAAAGCAGCCCAGCCTAGATTCTCCTGTTGCTTCTACTATGCTCTTCCTTGTTTCACTGTCCCAAGTACATTTTGCTGCCATCATGGACTCAATACCCATTGACTCAGTGCTGTGTAGCCCTTCTCGTTGGATATCCCCAACCCTATCCTTTTCCTTAAATAAATTCAATTTCTTTGTCCACCGTCTGAGGTGGCTATTTAGCCAACCCATGAACCACCGACCTTAACCTTTCAATGAGAACTTTTAAGATCTACTCTTAGCAATGGGCAGCGGCAGCTCATCCCAGATACAATTATTAACTATAGTCACCATGCTGTACATTACATCTCCATGACTTATTCTGTAACTGAAGTTTGTAGCTTATATAAGCTTCACCTTATATCACCACTCTCCCACTCCAACTCTGGCAACCAATCGCTTCTCTGTATTTATGGGCTTGTTTTGTTATTGTTTTGAGGGTTTTTTTAGATTCCACATATGAGATCATATGATGTGTGTGATTTTAGAGAAAGATACAGGGTGATAGAAAGCTAGGTTTATCGTTGTTCATGTAGAAAATAATATAATAAATAATACAAGAATATCTGTTTCACCTCCTCACAACTGTAAACCTAACTTTGCCCCACCCTGTAGTTATTTGGTCTTCATCCTGGGTCCCAGCTCTCAAAATCCTTGGAATTTCCTAAGTGCTGAACTCATAAATGGTGTCTTCTGTTATGTTAATTAGGTGACTTTTGGAAAGTGCCAAAGGATGGGGGCTGGTTGCCACTAACTTCAACCAGGTGACGAGAGCGCTTTCAGTCTCACTCCATGAACATCTGGGGAGGAGACAGGGCTACAGTTTGAATCACTCACTAGTGGCAATGATTGGATCAAGCATTCATATGTAATGAAGCCTCCATAAAAACCCAAAAGGAAAGGGTTTAGAGTTTCTGGGTTGGTCAACACATGGAGACTTGGGGAAAGGTGCTTGAGAGGGCATACAAGCCCAGTGCCTTTGCCCCATACCTTGCCCTACGCACCTCCTCCATTTGGCTGAGTTACGTAAATGCTTTTATAACAGACCAGTGATATAGTAAGTAAAATGCTTCCCAGAGTTGTGTGAGCTGCTCTAGAAAATTAACTGAATCCAAGGAAGATGTTGTTGGGAACTTCTGATTTATAACCAATTGGATAGAAGTACAGTTCTTTGCAAGTGGCACTGAGTCAGAGGG